CCTAGGACCGCCATGACAAATTACCACAAACTGGGTAGACTAAAACAACAAAAATGTATTTTCGCACAGTTCTAGAGGCTAGATATCCAAAATTAAGGCATTGGTGGTATTGGTTCCTTCTGGGTGCTCTAAGGAGAGTCTGTTTCTACCTTTCCGTTAGTTCCTGGTGGCTGCCAGCAGTCCTTGGCATTCCTTGGCTTGTAGATACATCATTTCAATCTCTACCTTGACCCATACATCACATGGTATTCTACCTGTGTGTTTCTCTGTCTCTGTGTCTCTTTTAGAAGGATACCAGTTCATTGGATGAGGGCCCACCCTAATCCAGTATGACCTCCCCTTAACTATGTCTACAGAGATGCTATTTTCAAGTAAGATCACATTCTGAAATACCAGGTAGACATGACTTTTGGAAGGACACTAGTCAACCTAGTGTAAACACTAAGAAATAATCACATAAATTTAGGCAGAGATCTTTTTAAAGTTGCAAGCAGAAGTGGGATTTTGGCAAGTTTTAGTGCCAAAACAGCTTTGAAAAAATTTATCTACAGCTACATACTTTTTTTTCTTTTGAGACAAGGTGTCACTCTGTCATCTTGGCTGAAATGCAGTGGCGCAATCATAGCCCACTGCAGCCTCAATCTCTTGGGTTCAAGCAGTCTTCCCACCTCAGCCTCCTGAGTAGCTAGGCCTACAGGCACACACCACCATGCCCAGTTAATTTTTTAATTTTTGATAGAAACGGCTCTCACTAGGTTTCCCAAGCTGGTCTCAAACTCCTGACCTCAAGCAACCTTCCTGTCTCAGCCTCCCAAAGCGTTGGGATTATAAGCATGAGCTATTGCACCCGGCCAAGCTGTCGATCATTAGATGGAGCTGGCTGGTTTCATTGACATGGCTTTGTGCTGGAATAGAAATCCAAGTTTCTGTTAGATGAAGGCGCAATTCATCCTAATCCCTACTTCATATTATTAACAAACCTTTAAAACCTCTCTGATTTTGACCACAAGAAACATGCATATTTGGATTTTTGTGCCAGGAAAAATTCTTTTATTTTTTCAGTATGATCAGTCAACAAATACCTATTGCATACATACCATGGCTGGGGCTGTTTTAGGCCCTGGGGGTACATAAGTGACTAGAAGGTGTTCCATGTACCTATGACATTCAAGATTTTCTAGACTCTGTGCGTATTTCATTCTTTTCATCCTTATAGCTGCCCTGTGTTGGTTTGTAAATAAGGAGACTGAGACTCTCAGAGGTGAAGTGACTTCCCCAAGTATGCAGCTGAACAGACGGAGTCACAGATATGACTCCACAGGCTGAGCTCAAGGCAGGGGCTGCAGAGGTGAGGATGGGTCACTCCTCTTTTATTTATACTCACAGCCAAAGCATTCAACACAGGGGGCATGAAGGATGCATTTGATGACAAGGCAGAATAAGTAGGTTGTGTCAATGGCCTTTCTTGTAATACTGAGGAAACTCAACTTTATTCTGAAGGCGGTGAGGAGTCAGTGAATGTTACTGAGGAATAAGGATTTCTTATGTTCTGTACTTTCTTTGATCAACACGTATTTATTGAATTGTATCACACACTGGGCTTAATGATGAGGATAAAACCATTTCAGAATCTCTGCCATCACTGTGTTTACAGCCTGATGTACAAAGTGATGAGAGAAAGGTTGATATTTTCCTGGAATTTTATTTGAAACACAGGGAAGCACCGGTAAGAAAGAAGGTTGAAGAAAGAAACAGGAAAGTGGCTTTTGAAAAAGAGGCTGAGTGCAGGGCTTTATACCTGTAATCCTAGTCCTCTGGAAGGCTGAGGCAGGAGGATTGGTTAAGGCCAGAAGTTCAAGACTAGCTTGGGCAACATAGTGAGACCCTGTCTCTACAAAAAAATTTTTTTAATTGGCCTGGCATGGTGGCACATGCCTGTAGTCCTGGCTATTTGGGAGGCTAAGGTGGGAAGATTGCTTGAGCCCAGGAGTTCGAGGTTATAGTGAGCTATGATTGTACCATGGCACTCCAGCCTGAGCAACAGAGTGAGACCATGTCTCTAAAAAAGAGAGAGCTTTGGCTGGGTGTGGTGGCTCACGCTTGTAATCCCAGCACTTTAGGAGGCCAAGGCAGTGGAGATCGAGACCATCCTGACCAACATGGTGAAACCGCATCTCTACTAAAAATACAAAAATTAGCTGGGCGTCATGGCACATGCCTGTAGCCGCAGCTACTCAGGAGGCTGAGGCCGGCGTATCACTTGAACCCAGGAAGCAGGGGTTGTGGTGAGCCAAGATCGCACCACTGCATTCCAATCTGGATGACAGAGTGAGACTCCATCTCAAAAAAAAAAAAAAAAAGAAAAGAAAAAAAAGGAAAAAAAGAAAGATATTTGTAAGTCTTCTGAGGTATAACAAGAGTTTTTAAGTGGGACAGTGACATAATGACATGACATGCTTGCTGAGAAATGGAAGAGTCATAGATAATGCCTGGACTTCTGGCTTGGAGAACTGATTGGCTGGTGATGAGGGACCTCACTGAGACAGGGAACATGAGTGATGAAGAGGTCAATTTAAATTGTTGAGTTTGGCCCACTTGTGGGACGTCTGAATGGAGGTGCTCAGCAGGTGAAGGGATATACAGCAGGGAGTACCGGAGAGAGAACTGAGATAGAGATGAAGATTTGAGAGTTGTCAGCACATAGGTGGTAACTGAAGCTGTGGCAGTGGACAGGATTACCCCTGGAGAGTCTCCAGCGGGAGAGAGAGAGGCTATAGGAAGGTCTACAGTGGAGCCCTAAGGAATGCCTCCACTGAAGGGGCAGGTGAAGGAAGAGGAGTCCAATGAAACAACAGAGAATACAGAATCTCACCAGAGGCTTGGTTTTTGCAGGTTCCCTGTGTTTTCTTAGGCAGTAGCTTGTATTCTTTCCATGGCCCTGTGGCTACTCTGTCCCATATTGTAAAACCTCTCTCCTCCACTATTAGAGAGTTCATCTTGCAAATATAATGGAGTAATGAGCCATCGATTCTGTTAACAAATGTCCAGTTTACTGCAAGACCTGTAATGGGAGTTCATTTTGGAGGTCAGTACAGCTGTCAGTGGAACAGTTTTTCCCCAGAGGCCCATCAGCTTTTTCTGTTGTACACTGGCAGAAGGTGTCCTGCCCAGCACCAGAAATGCCTGGAGAGTAATTAATACTGTAGAGCATTAATGAGCTGGTGATCCTGCCTAGGGCCATGAGAAGGGTATAGCCTGAGGTAGGTCAGATGACAGGGAGTAGAAGGTGAACTGTGTCCCCTCTGACATGAGTTGAATAACCCTAGAATATCACCATCACCACCACCAAAATGTTAACCCACCAACTATTATGCTGCCTAAAATTACATCTTTAAACTTTTATTTCTCTTGAACAAGAAATTTCACTAGTGGAATTTTTGAATGCTGAATGAACGTGTTGTGTTTGTTTGGTCTGCAGACATGAACTAAGAACCTGCTATGTACCTTGCCTTTATTAGGTAAATGCTGGGACTATAATGGTAACAACATCACAGTCACTGTTCTCAAAGCCATGGTTAGACAAGGAAGCATAGTGACCGCGGATATAATGGGAGCATGGGCCAAGTGCTGTTGGCACACAGAAGAAGATCCAACTCCAGGAAGGTTTCGGAGAGAATATGATATCCGCGTAGGATAAAAAGTCTACATATGAGTTTGCCAGTAGAGTAGAGGTGAAATCCAAGCGGAAGGAACAGCAGAGGCCAAAACAAAGAATCATAAAAGAGGCTGGTGTGTTCAGGGATTGATGATGCTTCCATATGCCTTGTTTATGGGTGGAGAAAAGCGGGAAATAGGTCAGACTGTCAAAAGCCTTGTTATGTTATGCTAAGGAATTTGGACTAAGCTTAGAGAGCCAGCCGAATGAATAATGCCCTTGGCTTGGGGTGTAGCACTATAAGTTATTATCCTTCCTTAATACCTCACTTTCTAACACAACAGAGGAGAGTTTAAGATAAGAGGGAAAAAGACGAATAGACAGAGAGTGGTGGGCAGTGGGGAATGTAACTGTCCTTGGAGGTCTCAGGAGGCCAGGCAGGAGCAGCTGGGGTCCAGTATTGACAGCTCCAAATGCATTTGTGCTTTTATCATTAATGCAGTGAGGCACAGTCCAGAGCCTCAATTAATGAGTCTTCAGTAAGCAAAGCCTCATTTAACAAAGCCAGCCTTAGCTTTTTTTTTTTCGCCGTTAATTAGATGTTTAAATTTCTTTTTTTTTTTTTTTAATTTCGGCTTGTTTTTCAGACGCCAGGGTACATATGCAAGTGTGTTACATGGGTATATTGTATAATGCTGAGGTTTGGCCTTCTGTTCATCCTATCACCCAAATAGTGAGCATTGTACCCCATAGGTAGTTTTTCAATCCTTGTCCCCCCTCTCCCTCCCTGTTAACGTAATCCCCAGTGTCTAGTGTTTGCATCTTTATGTCCATGTGCACCCTGTGTTTAGCTTCAACTTACAAGCAAGAACATTAGGGTATTTGCTTTTCTGTTTCTGCATTAATTCACTTGGGATAATGATGTCCAGCTGCATCCATGTTGCTGCAAAAGACATGATTTCATCCTTTGACGACAGCAGGAGCCACCAAAGAGTGGAAAGGTGGTAGTACACATTGCTCTAGAGGCAGACCTTGCCTGAGGGTCAGGGTCACACTCCTAGACCACAGGTAGCCGTACTTCCTGGAAGTGGGGCAGATATGGCCCAAATTGTGATAGGAAGTCACCTCCAGGCTACCCCAGAAGCAGTACAGAGGTACAGAGGATCTCTTCTTCAACCAAGATGGCCAGGAGGGCAGCAAGGGGCAGGTTTGTGAGAGGGAGAGAATGCTACTGCTGGATTATTGCCTCTGCTCTTACTCTTTTTTCTTCCCCTGACAACTCACTTTGGGATAAGGATACATTTCCTTCTTTTTTCATTCACAGAGCTATTTCTCCTTTTTACAGACACCCTGAGAAACATTTCCTCAGCTGGTCATGGCCCCCGCTCTTCTCCAGCTGAGCTCAGCAGCTCTAGCCAGCACCTTCTCCGAGAGCGCAAGTCCTCAGCCCCATCACACTCCAGCCAGCCAACTCTGTTCACGTTTGAACCCCCTGTGTCAAACCACATGCAGCCCGCCCTGTCCACCAGTGCACCTCAGGAGTATCTCTACTTGCACCAGTGCATAAGCCGAAGAGCAGAAAATGCAAGGTAGGAGGCTGCCACAGCCATTAGGTGGGTTAGTGACTGCTCACAGGGCCTAGTACTTTTCAGTCCCTAGTTTTTTAATTTTAAAGACAAGCAAAACATTATATCGTTTCAGGTAAACAAACACATCTATGACAAAACATAATTTTTTGCTTCTGTAGCCTTCATATTTTATTGGCATCATCTGTGTTGCTACACAGTGATTACTGGGTTCCAGAGAAACCTCCCATTATCAAAAATAATGCTATAAAAAATGTTGTTTGATTTGGAGGCAGGGGTGAAAGCATTAGGGGACAGAGTTTCCGAATTGCAAAAAAAACAGTAAATTTACTTGTTGGCCTTAAAAGTATAGCTATAAAACCATAACATTGTTGAACAAATCCATACCTTGCTTTTGCTCTAGAACTGCACTATTCTGTATGGTAGCTACTACCTGCATATGTCTACATAAATTCAAATTAATTAAAATGAAATAAAATGCAAAATTCAGTTCCTCAATTGTACTAGCCACATTTCAAGTCCTCAGTAGCCACATATGTCTAGGGGCTACTGTACCAGACAGCACAGATATAGAAAATTTCCATCCTAACAAAGTTATAGAGCAATGGCTCCCTGCTCTAGGATAATGGTCTTTTGTTTTTCTGACATCATCAGCTCTTTCACAGGTGCAGAACCTGGACATAAATTTATTATGTTTTATTCCCATTGTTAGGGTAAGCAAAAGTGCAGAGCCGATAGGCTTTGCCAGACCTAATTCCCAATTGCTACCATAGCCAGCAGATTACAAATCACATTTTAATTAACTTACAAGATCTAATTCATGATTCATGTTATGACAATTAAGGCAAATGGAGAAATGGCTGTACTAATGTATTACTTGATTTTGTCCTTGAGAATATTTTCATACATATCTCATTTGAACCAATCAACACACTGAGACATGGCCAGTGTACAAAATTTTATCTCCATTTTATAGATGAAGAAACTGAGACTCTCAACTAATAAATAGCAGAGGTTGGGCTAGAACCCAGGTCTTCTTGTTCCTGGTCCTGTACTCTTTTCTCTACACTATGCTACCCTACTTTTGTTTTTCTGAGTCATCTGCTGTCACACAGAAGAGGCCCCAAAACTCATTCTTAAGGCTGCCTCAGATACCCATTTTCATGAAGCAACATGGTTCATTTGTTTGTGAACTTTCACTAGTTCAACTTCCATCAACTTCTACATGAAGAGCTGAGTCCTAAAAAGATAGAGTGAGTTAATCAAGGTCACTGAACTCTAGTTAGTGGCATAACTGTAAATAATAGTACCTGATTCTGCTGAATCACTGACCAGAGATAGGCAGTGTGGTATAATGGAAAGCATGTTCAGGCTTTGGAGTCAGTTGGATATGGGTTCAAAATCAGATTCTTCCACTTGCTTTGTGATCTTAGGCCAATTATTTAACCTAATTAACCCTCAATATTGTTATCTTCACAATGGAAATAACTAATTCAAAGGCTTACTAATGAGTGTAAAATGATAAAACATACATAAAATAGTACTATAGAGTAAATACATTTTACCTGTTCTTCTTATGCCCCATCCTCTTCTACTACATATACAACTGCCTGGGAGCAGAGAATGTAAGGTCTTAAAATCATAGTTGTAGTGAAAGGCAAAGTACTTCGCTGCAGTGCCTTGCAGACTTAAACATGCATATGAAATACCTGAAGACCTTGTTGAAATACTCTGATTCAGTAAGCCTGGCCTGTGTCCTGGGATCCTGCCTTTCTGATAAACTCCAGATGATACCAGTGCAGCTTGTCTACAGCTCACCCTTTAAGTAGAAGGATTTATATAGTATTAACAATTGCCACCACCATCACTCCAGTGATCCTGCTGATGCATCAGAGAACAAACATAAAAACATCTCTGCTTGAATTAGCCATTAGGGCTAATCTTTGCCCCGCCACCTCCTCTGTGAAATCTCTATTAATCTTCTTACCTGGATGGAATTCACTTTTTCTATGAATCACCACAGCAGTTTTTTATTCTCTCTCTCACAGCATTTGGAACGTTCTGCCTTGTAGTGTGGATTTTTATATTAATACATTATTATTTGAAGACGGAGCTCACAGTAGGTGCATAATAAATATTTGAACAAATCTGTGTTGTAGAGGGATAACCTAGTAGAAGAGATAGAACTTTCTGCAGCTGAGGAAGTCACATTGTTGTAGGCCTTTGACCAAGCCATGTTCTTCTCTGTCGTGGTTTTCACTTGTGTGGATGAGGGAATGATAGGGTAATGAGCAGGATCTCAGGGAGATTTTTGGAGATAATAACTTCGAATAATGTTTGCAGAATTCCAACTGAAGGGTAGGAAGGAAGCTTTCTTAAATCCAGAAAGACTATATATTTTCTTGTAGTAGTGGAGTAGCTTGCATCATGCTGAACCCACTGTAATAATTGTAAACTCTGGACAAAATATTAAAAAATAACTTTTAAGGCCCCAAAGAGCAATTTAAAAAGGCAGAAACTGCAAGAGATCTGACTCTTGAAAGAAGTGAAATTCAGTTTACAGGGCTTCTCCTATGATGTTCCAATAACATATCATCCAGAATATTCAGTATACAATGGGAAAATGCCAGATATATGAAAAACTGTATACATTAACCCATAGTTAAGAGAACTCGATATCTAGAAAGAGATCAAAATAAACCCAGCTTTTGGACCCAGCCTATAAGACTTTAAAATAACTACGTTAATTTTTTAATCTATGGGGGTAATGAATGGATATAATAGGTGAAGAGATGGTGGATTTTAGGATGGATATAGAAACTGAAAAAGAATTGGGGAGTTCCAGTTCCACTATGGTGGCAGAAGCCACCACAGGCTTTCCTTCCCACTGATTACAACTAAAAACTCTGGACAAAATCTAAAGTACAATGCCCAAAGACTCTGAAAAATGAATGAAAGGAGACAGATTGTAAAGGGGAGAAAAACTTGTAGAAGTGACTACACAGAGGTAAACTTTTTGTCTTTTGTGGATTTGCCTCCAGGTTGGGCCCCATCACAAAGTAGCACAGTGGAACAAATGTCTAAAATGTCATAAAAACCCCATCTTTCTGAGTAGGGGAACCAGAAGAGGGGCCCCATTGGGGCTGGAAGGAGCAAGTATTCCAGAATGAAGAGAGCTGGAGAAGGGATCTTCTGACTCTGGGAATGAAACTACGTGAGTCTTAGGATCACCTTGGGCTACGCATGTGGGACCCAATCGAGTGTAACAAAGTCTATGTGAACTGAATGAAGATTTGAACTACCATACACAGGAGGAGAGACAGAACTTGCGGTCTGAACCTAACCAGGTTGATTTCCTATAAAAATATCACTTCTCGGCTGGGTGCAGTGGCTCACGCCTATAATTCTAGCACTTTGGGAGGCCGAGGCGGGCAGATCACCTGAGGTCAGGAGTTTGAGATCAGCATGGGCAACATGGTGAAACCCCATCTCTACCAAAAATACAGAAATTAGCTGGGCGTGGTAGTGGGCCCCTGTAATCCCAGCTACTCAGGAGGCTGAGGCAGGAGAATCGCTTGAACCCGGGAGGTGGAGGTTGCAGTGGGCCGAGATCGTGCCACTGCACTCCAGCCTGGGTGACAGAGTGACACCCTGTCTCAAAACAAACAAAAAAAAATCACTTCTCCATGGGATTATAACAGAACCCAGCATCTACACAACATAATGTTCATAGCATTCAGGGATCGGTAATCCACAATGTCTCTGGGTATTGAAAACCAGAAAAATATAACCCATTCTCAATGGAAGTCACAGGTATGAACCTCAAAATAACCCAGATGTTGGAATTTTCAGACACAGATTTCAAAGCTCCTATTAAAACAACATTCCATGTAATAAAGGAAAACATACTTGAAACTAATGGAAAGAAAAAACCCTCTGCTGCCAGGCATGGTGGCTCACACCTGTAATCCCAGCACTTTGGGAGGCCGAGGCAGGTGAATCATCTGAGCTCAGGAGATCGAGACCATCCTGGCTAACACAGTGAAACCCCGTCTCTACTAAAAATACAAAAAAATTAGCCAGGCGTGGTGGTGGGCGCCTGTAATCCCAGTTACTCAGGAGTCTGAGGCAGGAGAATCGCTTGAACCTGAGAGGCGGAGGTTGCAGCAAGCTGAGATCGCGCCATTGCACTCCAGCCTGGGTGAGAAGAGCAAAACTCCGTCTCAAAAAAAAAAAAGAAAAGAAAAGAAAAGAAAAAAAAACCCTCTGCCAACCAAGGAGTCCGTATTCCGCAAAAGTATCCTTCAGGAATGTAAACAAAATTAAGACATTCTCTCGGATAAAGGAAAAATAAGAGCATTTCCAAGAGATCTCCTTTTAAAAACTGATAAGAAATTTCCTTGGGCTGAAGCAAGATGGTACTAGATGGAAACCTGAATCTTCAGGAATGAGGGAAGAGCAATAGAAATAGTAAATACCTGCATAACTATGAAAGATTATTTTTCCCTTTTAACTTCTTTAAAATATGTATAAGTGTTAAAAGCAAAACTCAAACAATGTCTAGTGAGATTTTCCCCTGGTTTTCTTACTCTTTAGTATGAAGAGCTCCCTTTGCCATTTCTTGCCATGTGAGTGGCCTGGTGAGAAATTTTTCCAGGTTTCATTTATCTGGAAATTTCTTAATTTCACCTTCAGTTTTGAGAGAGATTTTGCTAGGTATAGAATTCCAGAATGACAGTTCTGTTTTCTTTCAGCATTTAAAGGATACCATTCTAGTCTTCTGACCTTCATTGTTTCTGATGAGAGATCAGCAGTTATTTTAATTTTTATTCTTCTGTATTTTCCTTCCTCTGAATGATTTTTTCTTTCAAAAAAATTGTAGTAAATACATAACATAAATATATCATCTTAACCATTTTTAAATGCACAGTTCAGTAAAGTACATTCATATTGTTATATAATCAATCTCCAGAAATCTTTTTATCTTACAAAACTGAAATTCT